GGCCGACATGCAGACGGGCTCTAAGTGGAAAACCATGTCAGTGCCGAGTGCTGTTTATCAGAGTATCCTGATGTGACTCTCATCCATCGTCACAGATACGGCGGAGTTTAAATCTTTCAGCCGACAGCTGCCAAGTTAGGGGTCATGTTCCTTTAAACTCCATTTATGATCCTCAGGGGATTTACCTGGATTTTTCTTTCATATAATGTGTGTGCAGTCTTTAGGTGCATGGAAAAATGATGAGTATATCTGCAGAATAATGTAGGGTGTGTGCATGTGTGTGCTTTGTTCTGTCTTTTAGTGGTTTTGATGCTTGAAAATTAAGTCGAGGAAGCATGTTTGTGATTGATGAGGATAGAGAAGGTTTAAATAACTTAAAATTCCTTTATAAAGGCAGCAACATGCAGCCTTGTTTATTTAATCCATGTTGTTCTGCGACAGTCGTGACCAACAGCTAGTCCTAGTCCAGCTACCGTTACGTAGACATCGACAGTCTGGAGTCACTGTGTGGTTCGCTCATCACCACCCCCTGATTAATAGACTCACACTTCTGCAGCAAGCAGCGAATTGAGACTTTAAGCGCCACTAAATCACCATAATTTTCTGTCATCGCTGACAGAAGTGATGTCTCACAATTGTAATTTTTGCATCTATCAAATGCTGTCAGTCACATTGTGGCACCGTAAGCAGAAAACAGTGTAAATACCGCAGACGCTGCTTTTTTCTTCGATTCAATGTGGGGGGAAGTTTTGAGGCCACTGTGAAGTTTATATACTGCATACAATGACAGACGGGGAATGTAGAGCAGTATACAGTAAACTGGTAGTGATGTTCAGACGCTGCTATTGTTGTTACTGCTGTTTGTTTTGTTGTTATTGTGACTTGTGACCACAGTGGTGATATTTAACAAAAGCAAGTTAGGTTATAATTAGTGATTTCTAGAGGACAGCAACTATTTACATTTTTGTAATTCTTCAACAATTTATATTTTCTCTGTTTTGCTAAATTACTGATAGTATCAAGTAAAATCACAGGAAAAATTATTTATTTGCACATTGACCATAAAAAACGAATCAAAACTGTAAATGTCTACATCAAAAATGTGCATTTTTAAAAAAATTTATTACATTTTTTTCAAAATTTAACCATAAAATCTCACTATATTCATTGTATTTAAATCTGATATTTTTTTGTTATTTTACAGATATATGCTGGTTTTTTTATTTAAAGGAAAAATATGCAAATTAAGGATTAAAAAGCAGTAAATATATTTTTCTTCAAAGCTGTTGTTTTACAGACTTTACCTGTTTTGTTAAATGTACAGATAATAACTAGAATTTATTTACATGGTGACTGTGAAATAACCGTCCAAAACTGTAAATAATGGTCCCATCAAAACTCTGTATTTTTAATCAGTCTTTTATGTTTTTTTTTTGTTTTTTTTTAAAAATGTGTGACTCTAACAGTAAAAAGAAAAGAAAAGATTATTTTACAGATTATTTTCAGCATTTTTTTTAATTATTATTTTTTTTTTACAGTTTTTAAAAGTTAGAATACTCCATGTTTTTTTTAGTGTATTTGTCTGACACCTTTGCTGCCAGATTTTTACAGTTTGTGAATGTTGCACTATTTCACACTTCTTTTTTTTTTTTTACACCTTTTTTTGTACAATATATCAGCAGATCCATGTCAACTGAAAAACTTGATTTTTAAGGTCAATAATGACGTCAGTGTTTAAGAATTTAAAAGACTCAGAAGTATATTGACTTTTTTCTTTTTTTTAAAAATATAAACACAAATATTTGATAAGGATCCCTTCAAAACTGGATATTAAAAAAGCTGCACTGAGCTCCAGAGGTTCGCTGAATAAATAAAGCAGCCACTAATGGAAAAAAAAGCGAAGGCACTCCATCTTCAGGTGAAATAACATCGCTCAGTTCTTCCTCAACTTTTTGTTGATTTGCATTTGTCTCGAAGAACTCCAAGAATACATTAATAACATCATCTCACCTGAACATGGAGTGCCCTGGGTTTTCTCCATGGTTCCCTGGATCCTGTTTTACTTCCACCTGCTGCACCAGAGAGCATCTGTCATCTGATCAGCCATCAGATCCATGCAGCGCTGCAAAAAAATAAGCCATCCAGTGCTCTTTATGGACAAACTACTGTATTTATAGGAGATTTCTGTCCCTATATTTCTTATTTTTTTCTGTTATAATATCTGACATTACTCATCTTTCTTTAGTAACATCAAAATTCATTCAGATTCTCGTTAAGTGTTTGCATCTATAAGTGATAATGAACACAGTATTTATATGAAGTCATTAGGCCACGTCTGCCCTGAGCACAAACATGGGCGTCGGCTCTGTAGCTGTCATTAGTCATGAGCTGTTTAATTGTGTAATAGCAGTGGGTAATGAGTACGATCTGTTTTGCTCGTGTTCGTTTGAGGTTAAATTAACTTTGCATGCTTTTAATCTGTCACGAGATCTGTTTATCTGTGGCACAGTGTGTGTCTGTGTTTGCAGTGAGGTGCGTAATGATCAACGATAGAAGAACAGATTTGTTGTAAGTCCTGTGAATCAGAAGGCTGGTGGAGCAGGCAGAGCCGGGTGGAGGGAGGGAGGGAGGCAATCTGGCAGGAGGAGCTGCTGGTTGGCTGCCGAGGAATGAGGGCAGAGGGGCAGTGGACCTCAGGGACAATAATCCAAAGTCAAAATAAACACAAAGTGAATCAAAAAGAGCGAGCGGAGCGACCAGGCCGAAGCGGCACACTGACTGAGTGAACGATCTGGCAAAAAAAGCAGACGGGAAGCCGGGGTTGAAATACTGCTGCGGTGTGAAGGTTGATGCTCAGCAGGGAGGGCCAGAGCAGCTTTAGGTCCACAAACAGAAAGAGAGACGGACACAGCAGAAAGCATTCACAGCATCTTGAAGGACGTCTCGATTCCTGAAATGTATCGCGAGGAAGCTATGAGCGAGGATGTGCAGGTGTTTCCTTTGCAGACGTTTCTCCCACAATGCACCACAGAGGCATGATGCACAGCTGGAATATACACGGTGTAGAATGTATTTATTTTAGTTTGTTTTAAACTCTAATTTTTGAAAACAATTTACAGTCATTTTACATATTTTACTGTTTTGTTAAATTACAAATAAAAACTGATAAAATCACAGAAAAATAGTATTAATTTACATGTTTAACATGAAGAAAACAGGCCAAAACCGTAAATAATGTCCACATCATATATCTGTATTTTATTTATTTATTTATTTTTTTTTTTTTACAAATACTAGTTTGGTTAAATTACATGACTTTTACTGTATTTAAATCAGCAAAAAATGTTGTTATTATACAGATATTTGTCACTTAAAAAAAAAAAAAGTACATTAGGGACTGAAAAATGGTAAAAACAAAACAAAACAAACAAAAAAACAAATCAAATAAAATTAATTTAAAAAATAAACTTTTATTTTACTGATTTTCCCCCCACTTTTGTTAATTTCCACATAACTTTTAATTAATATAATAAAAAGGGAAAATCATTTTTATGCCGACTGTAAAAAAACAAAAAAATTGAATCAAAACTGTGAATTATGTCCTCATTAAAAATCTGTATTTTATTTTATTTTATTTTATTTTATTTTATTTTATTTTATTTCATTTTATTTTAGTAATTTATTATTTTACAGGATATGGCCAAAAATATCACACTTTTCCTGTATTTAATCACCTAAAACTATCATTATTTCACATATATTTGCCTTTTTTTGTTTTTAATCTTTTTCACATTTTTTGAACGTTACTGTCTTACATCGTTTTTTCAACATTTTTCTGGCACCTTTGCGTCCAGATTTTTTTTTGTGTGTGTTTTTTTGGGGTCTTTTTTACAGTGTGTAGATGATGGTGGGAACAGGACTGACAAATATGTGGACATAACACACATCAGTGAATCCTAATATATGTCATTCTTTACTTCAATAGTACTTTTTTGTGTGGTATGACTCTTTTAAAATAAATAACGTGTGTTTTTATCCATACATCCTTGACATAGTTCGCCAAATTGTGAACTGGGTTAGAAGTAAACATGTACTGTTGGTTGTCGGGAGCCTTGTTGAGCTCGTGTGAGTTTCTGTGCATTTTTTGTTTTCTCATTGGACATGTCTGGCCTTTTCACGAAGCTGAAAAAAGGTCAGCGTTGTTGGACTTCAAACAAAAACTGCAAAACCTTCCTCACACACACACACACACACACACACACAGGTGGAGTGAATATGCACACACAGTCCCTCACCGGTGCTCCAAAGAAGTCCAACACACAGCTGTGGTCTTTATTCTCAGCAGCTGGGACACACACAGTGAAACACACACACACACACACACACTGGCTTTGTCCTACAGTGAAAGAGTAGGAGGCAGAGTGACTGACTGAGGGAACAAACAAGAGCTGGAACACAATTCAAAAGCTTTGGGGATTTGATTCATGCGATAGTTTTGAGATTAGGGACACAAATATAGACGATATTACACACGATGTATTATGTAAAGGATGAATCCGTTTAATATATCGCTCAATTTACTTTATTGTGTTCCTCCTCGGCAGAGTATTTTAGGCAAACGGGTAGAAATCCAGCAGGATGTTTCAGCAGTAAAAATAAAGAGGAACGGAGCCATGCGACGAGGTTTGTTGTGGAGGAAAAAAAGCCACTTGAGCCGAAGGGGAAAAAGAATGATGGAGACTCCGAGAGATTAAAAGAGTTAATCTGTGGCTCTGATTTTGTGGGAGTTCAGGGTGAAACAAGGGCTACTCTCATCTCTTCTCCCCCGTCTATTCTCATCCCTCCACTTGTTATCTCTTTAAAACCTCTTACTGGGAATACAGTGTTGATTCATGCCGTCCACCATTTGTTCTCATAGCTACAAGAGGGGGGTAAACAGATTCAGTTTGCATCCTGTAACAGCAGCACTGACTCACCTTTTCTCTCCTTTTGGTCCACAGACACCATTCTGGGTCCAAAGACGTTCCTGGGTGTCTCTAACTTCAGCACTTTCCTGCTGGACCGGTCCACTGGGATGCTCTTCCTCGGAGCCAGAGACGCCATACTGGCTGTGGACACCAACAAACTGAACGAAAGACCAAGAAAGGTATTGTTTTTTTTAGAATATTTATCCCATTATACAGTGTTATGCCAGTTATTTTCAGCCTTGATGTATATAAAATTAGATTCAAGTGATGTATAACAGCCAATTTCTCTACAAATTGGGTGCTGCTCGATGCCAGTTTCCATTTTTTATAAACCATCTTGATATTTGGACTAGATTCACAGATGGTACAGGTCTTTACAGGATAAAGAAATCTATTTTATTTCAGCAGATTTTGGACTCATTTATAAATATATAAAAAGTTGCAAAAAAAAGAAGTTTACATACACTTTTGGCTGTCGATGGAATTTTCATTGACTTCTATACATTTTCTGTCTTTGTCACCCAAAAACAATCATGCATGTTGGTTCTTTTGTAGATTTATTAGAGGTCTTCTGGAAATATGACAAAAACATACACTTCTAGTATTTGGTCAATGTCCTTTTCACCTCATCTGGGCTTCCACAAGCTTCTAATTTTATCTTTAAACGCTCCTCTTGATGCAATCTGTTGGCTTTCTGACACAGACTTGTTCCTTGATCACAGAGTCTTGATGTGGTTAAAGTCAGGACTATGGGGAGACTAGTCTAAATCCTTCATTTCATCCAGATTTATCCATTTCTTAACCATTTTTTAGGCCATTGTCTTGTTGAAACACACGCGTCCAACTTTCTAAACTTTTATTCACGGCTGTTTATATGTGGAGAAAACGAAAGAGAAACTTTGGGTGATGATTCTCACACTGACTATTAATCAGCTACTTATGATTGTTCTCTCTGTTCTCTCTTTTCTCTTCCTCCAGATTGTTTGGGACGTACCAGAGGAGAAGAGGAGGTCTTGTGTTGCGAAGGGAAAGACGGAGGTGTGTTTCATTCCCCCACACACACACACACACACACACAGATACCTTCTTCTTCTTCTTTTGTCCAGTTCAGCTCAAACTTAATGAGCGGTTGTGATTTACACAAACACCTAAGTGCTGTTTTAAGTCAGACGGTTGAGAAACACGTCGCCGACACACATCCTCGTCTCTGCGTAACCCGATTTGCAGTGACTCATGTTATTTACAGTCTTGCATTAATCCGGTTGCAACCCAGGAAAGTCCTGGAAAGCAGAATCATGTCTGAGGAGTGCATAGGTGATACATCTGACAATATCACTTATTGAATCAAATTGTAGGTCTTCTATTGCGGATCTTCGAGATTTAACCATCTCATCTCCCATAAGTAATGATGCCTGTGGGCTTTTACTCACTTTGTTGAAGCTTAAACCTAAATACAGTCGATTTGATTGGGATTTAAACTGCTCTGAAAGTGATTTTCTATGTTTTTCTTACTTTCTATGTTAGAATCGTCCTTTTTACCTTGAGGTGATTTAAAGTTTTTGAGTCTTAGATTTGTTCCTGGCATTCAAGGAGTCTGATATATCGGCATCTGTCAGTGTTTTTTTATATATGAGATACAGTATATGTGTGATATTTTGAAGTATGGTCTCCACTGTTTTGATCTCTATGCATTTCCTCTGTGTAATCTGTAAAAAACTGTTTAGATGTTCAACCACATCTGACACCACCGAGCTTATCAGCCTATCAAGGTGTATAATGTATAGATAAAGATCGAAGAGCGATCAAGACGTTTTCAGTCAGTAAAATCTTCTTTTTCGTGGCACAAAGCGAGCGTGCAGCCACAAAATCCTTGCATAAGGCTGCGCAATATTGCAAAGAACTGACCTTTATGATATTTGCTTTTGTCTGTGATATTTATTACAATATGAATTTTCAACCAGATGGCTTGGATAGCTGTGTTTGGAAAGAATGAATTATTCTAAAATGATGAGGGTGATTTTGTTGGGCAACGCATCGAAAATGAAAGTGTAAAAAAAAAAAAGAAGAAGAAGAAGCCATTTGGGATCTTTCTCGAATGGTGTAACATTTGCAAATACACCAAAATGAGTTTTTCGCTCTGCACAACATTCAGATCGAGCTTTGCGTGCGTCATACGGAGCTTTGAGGTGCTGATTTAAATCGTCGGCCCGCGTGTCAACAAACTCGGCGCCTTTAAATCGGAAGAAATTATGTTCTATCAGACAGCCTTTCTCGTAGATTAACCATGGAAAATGACAACCGTGATAGTTTTCTTTTGTGTGTGTGTGTCAAGCAGGAACAAAAGTTGTAGCATGATGAGTTCACTTACCTCACGTACTTCCTGCACACATTTTAATGCTGAAATTATGCATTTTGCAACTTTCTCCCTCTGCTGTCAGCACATCCCATGATAATAACTATGGGTTTATTCTGCTAAAAAGTGTTCTAATGTCTGATTTAGACGATGCCACTGTGCGGTAAAAAGCCACAACTGAGACTGATTCTTCATTACTAAAAACATTTTTCATTTAGAAGTAACTCCGCAGCCTCATTTCAACAAAGCAGGGGTTGTGTTTTGAGATGAACCCTTCAAAAATCCCCACCGCTATCCTTTAGGTAAGATTTGCGTTCTGATATTTAATGTGGCTGTGCACGTATTTTGTGCTACGGCGTGCATTCGTGTGTGTTTTCCACAACCCCTCGCTGTTAGGCGTCGGATGGGAAGTTCTGGGACTCGTGCCAAGACATCGTCAGGGGTGTGTGTGGAGAAACACAAAAACAGTAAGAGCAAGAGAGGCTGTATGCGAAGTCACAGATGTCCAGTAACCGTCTATGGAAACTGATTAAATAGAGCGTACTGTACACCCAAGCTGTACGTCTCGCTGTGCTGCGGCCAAACTGCTTACAGTAAACTAACTACTTTTGTTTGAGTTTACTGCTTTGGTGGTTTTAGCATGCCGGACTGAAATAGAGCTCAAATAAAAGGCTCTGGAGGAGAAAATATTTCCTCAAATGACCCGATAATGCTCCCAAAAAATGCCCCAGTCCAGTGAAACGAGGTCAAATCAAAAGATAAACAAAGCCAACGGAAGGTCGGCGTTTCAACAGAAGGGAAGTGCAATTAGTCATGACCCATTTTGTACACTCATTATCAGCACGGTTTGCTGCCTTCGAGTGCGAGGAGGTGAGAGACCGATAAAGGCAGGAAAGTTTTTTTTCCCTTCCCTGCAAAGACATCGATTACACGAGTCTGGAGAGAGGGGAGGGAAAGGGAAGGAGAGGGAGGAAGACTCAACAATGTGTTTGTGTGTGTGAATCATACACATGAACAAATCGGGGCGGGTTAGCAGATTTACACAAGGCTTTATTACTAGAAACAGGATGTTGCTAAATCCAGGAAATCAGGGATGTTGAACTTATAAATGAGATTTCAGAGGAGTTTGGTGAAACATCAGTCTTCTTGACAACAAGCTGCTCCTTCAGTGGTGCACACTTCAAGCAGGCTCCGGGGGGTTTAATCATCCAATCATCTGCCACATCTCTCAAACTGGGTGATAAATCTGCTCCTTTCAGTAGATAAATGTCAGTAAGCTTTTAGCAGGCTCGTGTCAGGATGTATAATTTCCACAGTGAAGTCATGGCAGCTTTTACCATTAAAAAGAATAATTATGATCACAATAGAATTCAATTGAATCAAATGGAACAGAATGGAGCCATTCGATCCACCCCATGCCAGACTGTGAATGAAGCTTATTCATATGAATGAGGTTAATTTGGGCCAATGAAATAGCTAATCCCGAGTTGATCCCATTGTTAGCAGCCTGAGCTCACGTTCTCTGGCTCCGTGGGCCCGCCTCACGTCGAGATGCACCCAGCGTGCCGCGGTGCCGGTGGGGAGGGTGGGCTGATTTGGGTGACATGATCTGGGCATCAGAGGCGATCAGGTCTCTGGGGAGGAGGTGACTCAGGCCTGGAGCTCATCCAGCGTGGCACACACACACACACACACACTACAGGCTTAATAAAAACCGCCTGCGTCATGGCTTCACGGTAACAGGGGAGGGACGATGGGGGTGTTTTTCCATAACAGCTGCTGACTGAATATAAGGAGAGGAGAGAGAAAAAAAAACAAAACAGAGTGGGCGTGAAAAAATATGTCATCTATAATCTGCATTTTTGACGCCGACAAAAGGAGCACATGTGCTTTGTGTGTGTTTTATATAAATATATATGCATGAAAATGAGCGGTGCGTCAGGCCTGTGCTGGCTAGTGAGCGGTGGGGATCTCAGGTGTCGCTCCCTGCACTGGGGGTCTCCAATTTCCAGTCAGAATCATTGATTGTGGAGCTGTTCTCAGAATCTACTTTAAGCTTTCTCTAAAAACCTCAGCGTGGTTATTATGGGTACACATGGGGGTCACAAATAAAACAAACAACATCTACTTGTAATGGCATTTTTTGGTTATGCAGTGAAACATAATTTAAGTACTTCTGGTGTAGCTGGGTTTTATTGGATTTTGTTCTCCTGTGCGCTATGTGTGGTGGTATTGTTTTTATTATAGTGTATTCAATATGCCATGTATTGTGATGTTGCAGCTGTCCTCTAACACTATCTTATCTTAAAATGTTTGTTGTGTCAGACTTAAACTACATGCATTATGCTGCAAAGAATCAGTGTGTAATTTAAACACTGTAAGTCTCATTATGCATCATGTTTGTAAATTTAAATATACACTCTGCCTCCTAATTCTTAAACTCACTTTTTATTTCTGTGTGTTTGTCTCCCCCTGCAGGTCGACTGCAACAACTACATCCGCCTGCTGGAGTTTCTGGGAGACGGACGCATCTATGTTTGCGGCACTTACGCCTTTGACCCCCAGTGTGCCTTCCTGGTTAGTGTGTCCGCCTTCTTGCGTGTGCAGATTCACCCACCGTGCATTAATTGCTGCAAATGAACGTCTAAGGCGAGATGCCACCACTCATCCACGACAGCACAGGGACAGGCAGACGGGAACATGTTGCGTTGTCCGCCCACTGCAGTGAATTTATTCACATTTAAAGTCGTTCTAGGACCTTAGTCACTCACTTTTTCACGGTAATTATTAAAAACAAGTCTGCACTGTGAATGTCAGGCGTAGGAGAGAATGATTAGAGTCAGTTGTGGTGAAATTATTAGCAGCACAACTCAACAAAAGGTGACGACTAAGAGATTGAACAGACACTTTTGTACTAGAAGTAGCTGCAACATACATAATTGTTATTGTAATCTTGCTTCTTTTCTTGTCGTTTTGCAGGAGCTCTCCTCCTTCACCCTGGAGAAAGCCGAGGATGGAGGGGTGAAGATGGAGACGGGGAAGGGCAAGTGTCCCTTTGAGCCCAGTCAGCATTACACAGCTGTCATGGCGGGTCAGTGCCTCTGGATTGATCAACTGACTTGTTTGTTTTCAGGTTGCTCAGCACGTCAGCCTTTTACTGTATTTCCAATGAGCAGTGAGTAAATCAAACCCTCTTTCTGTCTAGGGGGCACCCTGTACACGGCAGCCACCAGTAACTTCCTGGGAACCCTCTTCGACATCTCCCGGGCGACGGGCCCAGAACAGGGACGCATCCGAACCGAGCGATCCATCAACTGGCTCAGCGGTGAGACGCACCACATTCACACGTTAACACAAACGCACCATATGCTGGCGTCGTAGGAGTGAGTAAAGTTGTGTGTCCGTGTGCAGACCCAGAGTTTGTGAGCTCGGCCTTCATCGAGGAGGCCCCAGACAACAACCCGACAGGAGACGACGACAAAATCTACTTCTTCTTCACCGAGGTGGCCAAAGAGTACGACCTTTACACCAAAGTCAAAGTGCCCAGAGTGGCACGGGTCTGCAAGGTAACCCAGCGACTCTTGATTGACGGATTCCTTGATCCGCATCGACTGTGTTCCCCTCGATCTGATCTGTCTCTGTCTGTTCAGTCGGACGTGGGAGGGATGAAGACTCTGCAGCGACGTTGGACCACTTTTCTCAAGGCTCAGCTCGTGTGCGAGGACAAACCCAGCGGCCAGCGCTACAACATCCTGACTGATGTCTTCACCACGCAGCACACCCCAGGCGACCCCAGCAGCACACACTTCTATGGACTGTTCACCTCCCAGTGGTAAGCTGAGGGAGCGTCGATGTTGTGGGGTACTGCAGTATTGTTATTGCAAAAACTTTAAAGAGCTAAGAGCACTGAGAGCAGCAGGAAGCGCAACAGAGATGCTCTGCTGATAATAGATTGGAAATTTCAAAATGAGGTCTTACCCCCACATATGGCTCTACATTTATTGAATATTGCATGCATATGTGTAGTTTTCTAAAGGAACATGTCCTCTTTTTGAAAAAACAAAAAACAAATATAAGCTCTACAGTTAGGTTTCAACTAAAAACTTTAGTGTAAGAGAAGTCAAATTTACAAAACTGTTGATAGCTTAGTGATACTGAAAGGGAATAAATAAAGATGTGTTGGAACATATTTATTCACCTTCTTACTGAGAGTTAATGACAAGGTTGAACTCATTCTTGTAAAGGTGCAATAATAAAAAACGTATTATCCCTGAAGGTCAAAACTGTTGTCCTTCTGAGCCACACCGATGTTTTTGAGAGGCAATTTTCTTTCTAAATTCACAGAAATTACACCACTTAGGAGGCTGAAAACTGTGACAAGCCATTCCGTCTGAAGACTTAACCAAATCGAAGCTAAAGTTGTGATATTTACATCATATAACCAACCGTCTTAAAAATGAAGGCATCTTTCGGCTGAACTGCAGGATGTGTTTCCACAGAGCAGATAGAAGACAAATGTGGAAACAAATCACAAATGGAAGCAATGCACCTGCAGGCAAAATCTTGTGTATACTGATGCCAGTTTTTTTTCAATTTTTATGAAATAAGTAATCATTCTTGATCATTTGTGTCATTGTAATTTTCTTATACTGCACAAACTAGATTTGGAGTCATCTACTTCTAGCCACGGTTGTACTATTTTCATAGAGGCAAGCTTGCCGTTTCCCCCAGTTTCCAGCCTTTATGCTAAGCTATGCTAACCATTTCTTGGCTTCATATTTACTGTACAACTTGTGAATGAAATAGAAAACTATTCCTTTATCATCAAACATCTTCAGAAGTCAACTCTTGGCATTTTTAACGTTTTTTTTCCCTCCAAATCAACAGCTTCAAGTGGTAACTATTGTTTTCTTCTCCATAGGGAGCGTGAAGAGATGTCAGCCGTGTGTGTTTTCAGCCTGTCTGACATCAGCAAAGTGCTGGACGGCCCCTTTAAAGAGCTGAAGAAGACCTGCGAGACCTGGATCAACCCTGAACCCGTCCCCACACCGAGGCCAGGCCAGGTACTCAACTACCTCCCACCTCATCTGTCACTACCTGGGCTTTACACAGTTCCTTTAGTCGTGTTCTACAATAATGACTCAGAAATAACATGTTTGTCCTTTCATCTAGTGTTTGAACAACGCATTGAAGGCCGACGGGTTCGAGTCGTCCCTGAAACTTCCCGACAAGGTGCTGACGTTCGTGAGGGATCACCCTCTGATGGAGAACAGCGTCACTGCAGCGCCCCTGCTGGTGAGGAAGGGAGTCAGATACACCAAGCTGGCTGTGACTCTGACGGGCAGCGGAGACGAGAGGAGAGGGGCGGTGCTGCATCTAGGAACAGGTGAGGAGAGAGGGATGTAGAAATGAAAGGAGAGGGCAGAAGGCTGTGGAGATGTGTTCTCAAACTTGATGTCAAAATAAAAGTTGATGAGTTGTGAAAGTGGAAATAAACACACATATTAAAATTACAGACAAGCTCTGCAAGTTCTTAGTGGGAAATACCCCAAAACCATAAATACCGACACTGATTGTGTTTTGTTGCAGACCGTGGGGAGCTCCACTGGGTGGCAGTAGTGGGCCAGAACGCCACCTTACTGCAGGAGATTCCTCTGTTCACATCACAGGAGCCTATTAACAACATACTGCTGCACCAGGTAGAGCACATGCATCTATACTCCACACACGGCATATATTCATCTGCAGTTCTTGCAAAAGCTTGTTCGGTGATTCTGGAAATGTTCCCTGTGCTTTCCAGGGCCGGGCTCTGGTGGGCAGCCCTCTGTCTCTGGCTCGTGTCCAGGCTGAAGGCTGCGCTCTGTACATGGGCTGTGAGGTTTGTGCCAGAGCCAGAGGACTGGGCTGCGAGTGGAGCACAGAGGAGAAAGCCTGCAGGTCCACAACAGCCGAGTGAGTACTACAGGAATATCACAATGAACTGGAAGTTGTCCAAAAAGTGGAGCTCAAAGGCAGACAGCAGCTGTATTGGGTTATAAAATGGCTTATTGTTGTGTAAAAACTGACCTAGTTTTATGAAATTGTGTTAATCCTCTGATGCTGACCAAGGCTGTCCTTGTACAGACACACATTTGTAAAGCAGTAGATGCAGGAAAGTAATGTTGTAAAGGAAACTAAAAAAGAAATGACGATACAATCCTCAAATGAGTAGAGCCAAAGTAAAATCTTCAAAAAACTCCTCATTGATTGTGATTTTGTGCATGTCCAGGCCGGGTCCAGGTGATGTGGTGGATGATGCCCTGAGGAAGTGTCACACAGAAGAGGGTAAGTGTTTGCAAATTCAGATTTATAAATTAATTTTTAAATCACAGACTATCCCAAACCTGTGTAACATCATTGCAAACAGACAATGCCTTTTATATCATTAGGAAGGCAGGACTTAAAAATGTGGGTTTGCAAGGTATGTTTAGCTTTTAGTGTCATGAAGGTGGCTCTCTTTAAACCTGCTAGATCACCATGGTAACATATACTGCACAGCTAACCTGCTCTGGAGGAGGTTCTGAGACTTCATTAAGCGTCTTCATTGAACCAGTTCTTTCCCGAATGGTTCTCTATGAATGATACAGATTCTCAACTGAGGGAATGTGTTTATCTGTAAACCTGCTGGGTTGTATGTTACTGATTCCACTGAATGAAGCCGTGCAGTTATAATATTGCAAACTGCATGTGTTGCATTGTGATAGCATGCATTTATTTGGTGATGGAGAAAATGCATGAATATGTCTTAATGTTCGATCCTGATTTGCTGCCAAGTCCGTTTACACTGCTGGTACTGCAGCTATTAGAACACAGATTAGGAAAATCGACTAGTGTGTTGGTATTTATCACAGGTCATATTCAGTCAATAATATTCATTTCATTTTGATGTGGCCTGAAATTAATATCCTGCATTATCAGAGAGCATCAGACCTTAGTACGCTGCTGCAAAATCATGTTTAAATGTATGGAGTTTAAAGCTGTAATGTGCAGCTGTCATGTTAGAAATAAGTGGCTGCATCGATCAGTGAAATTATTATATTAGCACATGAATATCTTTTTTTTTTTTTTTACTAGCAGTCTCTTGCACCATTTGCAGTAGCAGCACTTTTTACAGAAATAATTGTTTCTATTCTTCACAATCACAAGAAGCAGAGTCTGAAGCAGAAAGCCTGAATTCACTAATAAAGCTGATAACGGCATTGTGTTGTCTCTGATTCAGGTTTTATGTCAGCCAGCTTGCCGATGTCGACCTTGCTTCATATCACTTCCCTCAGGTTTGTTTCTCTGTTATTCAGCTGTCTCCCTTCTCTCCTTCAGGCCGTTGCACGCCGTCCATCAGGGAGCTGCGGGTGTCTTTGGGTTTGCGCCTCTTGCTGCCATGTGTGCAGCTGTCTCCAAGGCCCTGTGGCTGGGATCATCCTCCTGACAGACACACCAGGCAGCACCACTCCGACCTGGAGGTGACTGTCACCATGGACAGTCTGGGCAAATACATCTGCACCTGTCAGGTACACCGACAGAAAACTCTCTGCTTTTTATCTTCACCAAAGAGATGGAAGCAGCTCATTTTCTCTGTCTTGTCTCTCTGCTCCAGGAGGCAGGACCAGGCATCAGAGACCCCACTCCCTGCCGCAGAGCAGCCTATCAGCTCACACTGGAAGACCCCAGTGCTGGAGGAACAATAGCATCAGCCGGAGGTCGCCATGTCCTGGCTATCTACATCCTTTTCTTCTTCTGCGGTTTTCTGCTGGGTGTGTTCCTCCTCTACTTTGTGACCCGGCGGCGCAGCATGTCCCGCCAGGGCCGCCACCTTCCTGATAATTCGCTGTCATCAGAGAAGGGGCGGGACTTGCTGGGCTCCTCAGCCACTCCGCAGTCCCCGAGCAGTGCCAGCCTGATGTCCGAGGGATTCCGGCTGACGGAAAAACGAAACGGGACCACGACCTCCACCACGACTACCACGCTCCTCAGCAACCAGGGTAACGGCGGTCCCCACGGCAACAGCTACAGCGGCACCCTGATCAACAGCAACCCCAGCAACGGCCACGGCAATTCCCTGTACGGCAACCTCAACACGAGCAGCAGCGGGCTGAAGTTCACCTCGGAAATTTTAGCCGCAGACCTGCTGGATGGAAGGACGGGGGAGCGGGAGAGGGTGAGGCCCGAGGGGGGAGAGAGGGAGTCGGGGGAGGGGGACGAGGTGGACGAGGGGCTGAGGGATGGGTTAGGGGAAGGAATGAAAAAACTAGAGGAGGAGCTCAGCAGCTTTCCCATGTTTAAATCGCCAGCACCCCTGGCCAAGTGCGAGGAAAGTTCAATATGAAACGGTGACATGAACATACTGTCGATTGCACCATTTTGCATCCTCCAAATGAACCGAACGCTACAGGAAAAAATGCAAAGTGGCGACTGCCAAATGCCTTTGACTGGGAGCTGTGGCATGAAGAGAGACTACAGAGATTTATGAGAGATTGAAGTTTATGTCTAAGCATGTGAGAGAGAACATGAAGCAGTGTTGGGAACAACGACTTACTGTGGGTCATCAGGATGAGAGCCACAGCTAAATAAATGTGTCAGATGTAAATATTAAATGTAAATATACACAGTCTGAAATTGACTGTTAACATGAAAGTGAGCGGGTTTATCCTGCATTTGAAATGTTACCAAGAATCAAAGATGAAATGTCTACATGTAGACATGGAAAAGCCATATTGTCTTTCTCCTTAAACCTGTTTTGTTGTTGTTCGCTCTCATTCACTCCTCCTGATGGCACTGCAAAGCAAAAGTGCACTTTTTCTCGCTGCACCTCTCCGTCTCTTGCTATTTGTATTTCTCTCTCTGACACACCACTCCAATCCCAAACCTTTGATGGGTCCAAAGGCACCAAAGGACTGCTGAGCCATAGACCAGACTGCTGGGGCTTCAACCAGAGCGACTAAAAAAACTATAAACCCGCTGCAGAGTCTTCAGATGGCGACCATGACGGGGCTGTTCCTGCCTACACTGCTGCAGAGGTCAAGAGGCCGATAGAGGCCCATCTGTCAGATCCGTGTCAGTGTGGAAGATGCACAGCAGATGCAAGAAACTGCCCACATCTGTCGCTGTTCACGTTTGCCATCGCTGACACAGAAGGAAAGCAGAGGATGCGATATTCATTTCAGTCTTGAAGAACGGACCGTGCCAGACTCGAAGCCACCGTCACCTCATTTTCTGTGTGTGTGGATTCAACATAAAGATGTATTGTTTTTGTCATGTTGTTTTGTAATAAAAGGTTAAAAAGTTGCTGTCATCCTGCTTGTTGTTACTGTCTGGATCAAACCTGGATGTGGGGAAGATTTGTAACGAATGGTGACGTGTGCGTGAATGAGTGACTCTGTACATTTAAAACTATAAAAAGCCTGGGTTCCAGCTCAAGATTCAGTTTGAACTTTCTTTCTTTTTTTTTTTTTTTATGATACTGCTACTGTTGAGATTTCTAGGCAAGAGTTAGATCAGAAGACTCACCACGTGTCTGGAGATCTACATTCAGCTGATCAGCTTAGGAAGTCTGGAAACTCTTGCTAAAGGTTGCAAAAATGTACATATGTGCACTTCTATAGCTGTACTTCTATATTTCCTTTATTGATGCTCGGCTGAACTTATGAAGGGCATCCAGTGCAATGTGACATTCCACTAGAAATGTCTTCATTTTGATGATCTCTAATCATTTGCGAGCTTATTTGGCATCCAGCACTTAAAACACAGCTGGAAGCACTCACTAATTAAGTGCTTATTGATTGGAGACATGGACGTCCAGTGATCTGCGTTACGTATTTTGAAGTACAACTTAGATTAGTGTCTTTTCTGAATTTGTAAAAGCAGTTTTTAGCATTTCATGGCACCTTCTGGGGCCTTCTTGTGTGGTGTTTGCATGCTCTCTTTGTGAATTTGTGCTTCCTCCCGCAGTCCCAACACATGCATGTCAACTGGTGATTCTACATTGGCTGCAGGTGTGAGTGTTTGGCAGCATGGTTTCCTGTTTCTTTGTACCAGGTTTTACTCTGCCTTTTGGTCAATATCAGCTGGGACCGGCTTCAGCACTCCATGACCCTGGGTTGGATAAAGCTAATGAATGAATGGATGCATGGATTTCTAAGAAGTGCCCTCTCGTGTCAGTTTTTGCTCCAGTCACACAAAGGTAAGACAAAAGATCTGCTAATTTCTCAATGAGTTCATGACAATCTTCATCTTTTATTGTCGCTGAATCTTTTTGTCCGTGTTAAGTAAATATCGAGATGATGAGAGATGATACACCACAGGAATGGGAATCATTTTTGCCTTCTCTTCATGAAATCATCACTTTATTAATATACGTACCACATATTCAAACTTAGAGAATCTTCATCGGGGTGTTGAGTGCACTAGAAACATGTTGCATTTAAAATTCATTGAGCCATGTGATATAAGTCTCATGGTATGTGAATTGTTCCACTTAGAGAGAAAAAAAATACCAAAAGACGACAAAAAAAAAATAACCACCAGAGTCGAAACACAGACTTTTGTCTTCTGTAAAAACTCAGTGTATTAAAATAAATGTAATCCAAAAATAATCAGGGGTGGGGACTCTGCTGCCAATTTATAATCTGTTCCTATTAATTAATTTTCATTCTCGTGCACTGGAGCACAAAATGCAAATATCAATTAATTGAAGCACATTTGGAGCAAAATACACAAGAGGATTGGAGTGAATTTTACATGCTGTATCTCTCTTGTGGCATGTCATGATGGTAAAAATACAACATGATGAGAAAGGTGCACACAAATAATTCAAGGGACAGCAGGAATCCCCTCTATGCTGCATTTGTGTGCCATTCACTGCTAATGAAGCAAAACAACAAAAGTACACTGAATATGTACACAGCTCTAAAGAATGTAAAATCCATCCTCATTTACTTAATGCACTTAATTTTGTGGCATTACAGTATTTATAAATGTTCTGATTAATGTTTTTAACTACATTTTTCTTTTCACTTTAACTATGTGCTAAATCTGTCCTCACAACATACATATTGTTTAATGCAATATGCATGCAACTGAGACGCACTACTTCACCATAACAATGTGCCCTTAAACTTTAACCGTCGCAGTCTGTAATGTGACATGAGCTGTCATCTGTCTGTGTGCTCTCAACAGCTCAGCTTTTTTATACTCGCATGAGGCACTGTGACATAACTGTGCAGAGAACTGTGGGTCAGAACGGCCAGAAAAGCAAGCTGCTTGTTAAATCTGACAGGATACAGTGGGTCAGCCAGGTATTTTTGCCATTTGACATACTGTTGGGATGGCCACTGTATACTATGGTAGTGTGAAAATTGGAACGTTCTCCATCAGGCTAAGTGTGTAGACTGAGACTGGGCCAGAGATACTAAGCATAGCACCGATTGGGAATGTCAGTCTATCAGTCAGCTGGTTATTTGGTTGGTCAGTCCACCACTTTGACCCAAACTAAAATATCTTGCCATTGATTGGATGGATAACCAAGACATTTTGCACTGATATTCAAGGTCCTGAGAAGATATAGTGCTTTTAGCACCATCATGTGGTTGACGTTTGTAATTCAGAGGGAATTATCTTACCTGTGTATTGTATGGATGCCATTAGATCAGTTCCTAAATGATGAACCCTGCTGGCTTTGCTGATTTTAAAATTTCTTCTAGTGCTACCAGCAGGTTAGCATGTTTGGTTTAGAGCACAGCCAATGACTTGCTTGGAAGATGTCATAGTGGCATTCATGTTTTTTTACAGGATGAATCCTGCTGACTATCTGACCTTTCTCACTGACATTTTTGAACTTACTCAACAAGTACTGATGGAACATTTTATGATTCTAAGGAAGGGATTTGTTACAACACTCATTCTTGTGACAATGCATTTAGTGCCATAAGTTCAAAATGTCAAATATCCAGTCATTTGATTTACGACCAAACACCAGCAATGCTACATGCATTTACACCAGCCTCATTTGTACTTTGTGTTTGGTGCTAATTAGCCAATGTTGGCATGCTAACACTACGCTTCTCATAGATGGCATGCATTATACCTGCTATAATCAACATGCTAATATGTGTTATCATGGTGAACATATTAACGTGCAGACTTTTGCACTTACCACAACCTACGTCTGTGCCTAAATGGCTAAATTTATTTCTCATAAACCAAGAAAACATCTACAAAATGAGCAATCACCATCCTCATTAATTAAAAAATATTTTTATTCAATTGTTAAATACCTGGAGCCAAGCCGGCATGACTTAAATTCCCTACACAGATTATTTTCAAGAGACAAGAGTTCTGCATAGACAAAATACATGAACAAATTAAACATATAATGCCCTTATACGCTGGTGTCATTTGACAAAGCCTAGGCTTACTGAATGTTTTACAGTGTTAAGAAAAAGTAGGTCAGCTATTCAGAATTATCTGCAAATATGTGCACATTTGTGCTAAAATATAGTCAGATGTTCACCTAAGTTTCATTTATGAACAACTACGATCTAGTTTAAGTTAAACCTATAAATCAATGTGTGTTTCTTGTCCATATTGAATGCATCATTGAGACACTGACAGTGTAGATTTGAAAAACTATGTGTACCCTGAAGTTAAAAAAGTTAACAAGGATGGCATCAATTGCTGTCACGCAACATTTTGAGTTTGCTGTGCTGCTGCCTGACAAAACCAAAAAAGAAATGAAAAAGGAGAACGTGCATGAAGGACTATCATGATTTGGTGCCACTATGTTGCCTCTGGGTTTGGACAGTGTACCATCATCAGAGAGAAAATGATCCGGACCTTTTAACTGATATGAGTGATTACCATTGAAGAGTCATTCCCCTCATGGTGGGTGCAAGTGTTCAAATATGGGTGCAACTTCTTCTTGGGGAACCTGCAGCCAGTAAAGGAGTAGATATGGGCGTTCATCCCGACGTCATAAAAGCAAACCTCTCCCTCCTCGTGGTCTACAAACACCCCGACCTTCTTGAGTGTCCGGGGAACATTAATCTGCACAGGAGGCTGGTCGCAGGCTTTCAAATTGTCCCCATCTCTTAGCATCAGGACAGCGTAGCCATTACTCAGACAGACATCAGCCAGGCCTTTCCTGTTGACTGTTTCCAAGGCAACTCCAATGTCCCACGCCGTCTTACCTTCCACTTGCACCTTTGGACAAACCCAGAAGATGTTTTTGTGATAAACAAGCAAATAGCTTATGCATGCACTAAACACATTTCCTTGCATTTGGGTGCAAACCAGGAGAATGGTAAGACACAAAACAAAAGAATTGCAAAGATGCTAATTGTCTTCTTGCTGAGTCTCATCAGTAAGGTTTGCTGGTTGATTTGCACAGTTTTTTCATATATGACTTTTCCTTTCGGTTAAGTAAATGACTGACAATAAGAATGTGTAGAATGTGATGTGAAAGATTGACTGTTGGGAACTTTTGCTTGGATGGTTACTACTACTTTGAGTAGTCGAGAAGTAACTACGATGGTAGTTCAAAAAAGTTCTCAGCCCCACCCAGAAACAAGCCATTGTTTCCATTGTACCATTTTGGGGGCATAACTGTATAGGTGGTGCCCCAAGTAAAGGAATTTAAGTATCTTGGGATCTTGTCTACGAGTGATGGAAAAATGAAACCTGAGATGGACAGGCTTGCTGGAGCGTCTGGAGTAAGGTCTTCTGTCTACATCCTAATCCTCATCTATAGTCATGAGCTCTGGGAAGTGACTTGAAGTTACATAGGGTGGCTGGGCTTGACTTTAGAGATAGGGTGAGGAGCGTTGACATCTGGAGGGAGCTTGCAGTAGAGTCTCTGCTCCTTTGTGTCAAGAAGATAGTTGAGGTGGTTGGGACATCTGATCCGAATGCCTCCTGGGTGCCTTCCTTTGGTGGTTTTCCGAGCACGTCCGCCTGGGAGTAGACTCCAGGTTAGAACCAGAACTCGCTGGAGGGCTTATATATCTCATCTGGCCAGGTAAATTCTTTGGATTCTTTGGAAGTGGAAAGAGTTACGAGGAAGAGGGATGTCTGGAAGGAGGCTTTACTTGCTGCCTTCATGACCTAAGCCTGGATAAACGTATGAAAATGGAGTGATGGATGGATGTATGCTATAAGGCCTTATATCACTGTCCACGAAAACTCTAATATTTGAAGCAATAAAAGAAAAAAAAAAAGAAAGCCTTCGAGGTTGGATGCTGTTCCTGAACAAGACTTCCATCCACTCACGCCAGGAGGCAGAAGCAGCCAAATGTGGCTTTGAATTGTCGCCCCATGAACCTTACTCACCCAATCTGGTATCTGTTTCCCAAACTGAAATCTAACTTCAGAGTAATGATGAAGTCATGCTGTTGAGGAGCATGTGGAGGCTCAAGATGTGACCTTCTTCCACAAACAGATAGCGAGGCTTGAACATCAGTAGACCAAGAGCATTGACGTTACAAGACACTATATTGAAAAATAATTCATGAAAAACCTTTCTCCTGTTATGTTTTCTGGTGGGGCCGAAAACTTTTTGAACTACCCTCTTGTAAATTTAATTGAATCTCTCCATATAACTCAGGTTTTATCAGAATATCTCATTCATAATTTTAAATTCCTGAAGATTGCTAAAGTTAAATTCAAAAACATGAAACTGAAATCCCACTGACCTCAAAGTAAAAGGCTCCAGAGGAATAGCCTTCTTTCCCCAACAAACCAAGAAGAGTGTCAAACCTCTCTGGGTTGTCCGGCAGTTTCTGAGGCAAGCCTCCATTTCTCACTTGTTTCCCATCATTGGACACAATGAGGAGATTATTTGCCGTATCGGAGTCCAAAGTTACATTCACTGACAGGGAACAAAAGAACAAGAGCAAGTTGAGTTTATATTTCTTAATAATGACCAAAAGGATTCCTGATGTTTTCTTTTGTGATAAAAGTTTTACCTGCATATTTCTGAATTCTCTTTATCTCTGCAGGGACATGAATGAATAAATGTTAGAAAAACGAAGAACACATGCTCAAATAAGGTAAAAATGTTCAAAGAAAATAATGTGACTTATCCTTACCTTTTGTAACCATTTTTTTCATTTCATCTTGCACCTTGTTGTGAAGGTCGAGGACCAGTCTACTGACTCCACTTCTCACAGTCCCCACTGCTGAATCATTGTAGGCACTGATCTCAGACCAGTCCTTAGTGCTGGGCGGGTCACTTAGAGAATGCAGGCTCTGGAGTGAAAATGCAGAACGAACAGTTAAGCTGCTGCTCCAGATGCAAAAGAAATGAATATGCAGATTGTGCAAAAGCAGAGGACCTGCAGAAGACGGAGTTCATCTTTTATGTGGGACAGATGATCCAGTTCATCTTTTCTCTCCTCCAGCTCGCAGATTTCTTCTTGAAGCTTCTCTTTGAGAGCCTCACTGCGATTATCACCTTTCCTATGTAGCAACATGAGGGCTGCCGCAAGTCCTGACTCACTTGTTTTTACTATTTCTTTGAACTGAGCGAAGATCTTCAGAATGTCTGCAATGTCTGTCTTGACGTTCTCCTGTGGAACAAATTTGCAGTTATGAAGTGTTATTACATTTACTCAGGTTAAAGTTACTTTAGTATTTTTATTTCATGCTAGTCTGTAACTTCAATACAAGTCAGTGGGAAATATTGAGCTTTATATTTAGGGTCTGAGCACCGAAAAGCTTCTCCTGAGTCCTTTTGGATTTGTTGTTGTTGTCATTTCTGTGGATTTTGGACTTTAGTTGTCTTTGAATGACCGTCTTTATTTTGGGATATATTTTTTCCTGTATCATCGGCCACCTTTTGATTTTTCCCTTCCAGCCTGTACTACACCTTTCAGTTATGTCGTTAAAGTGTTTCCTTTTTAACAGAAAAATGTTGATTATACCAGCTGTAAGTACATTTTTCTAATATTACACACTCACTTTTATGTAACAGTTTCAATGCAAGACCTCGTGTATTGCTGCATGCTCCATTACAGATTATATTTATTACTTTGCTATACTACAAATATTATTATTTTGTCTTTACAACACAGAATACACCAAAAGAAGCAAATTACTTAAAATGTTTAAGACTTCTAGATGAATGAAAAACCCTTCACGATACAAAACTCCCCAACCATTTACGTTCTTAGCTGACTTACCTTACGGAGCTCCGTTGACTCATCCACCGCCCTCAACATCTTTTTCCTGTCCTTGATCTCCTGCTCCAGCTCAGAGAGTTCTCGGTCCACCTTGGCCTGAGCACAAACGTGTAGCCATGTAAATAATTCACATTTCACGAGTGCCTTCTTAAGTCGTGCAGCCTTAGTTCAGTTTCATCATCGTACCTTTTTCTTTCTGAAGCGGTTCTTCAGAGGGACACACTGATGGTTTTGGTGGGTTGATTTGACGCACAACACACACACACAAGTCAGGTCCAGATGGCAAACCAGTTCCAGAGGAGCTTTGTGCTGCTTGCAGAGCCTGTTGGTGAAATAAATATTCACATTATACACAAAGATTATACAGTAGCTGCCAAATATCAGCATGAGGGTATAATAACAGACATAGGTCCAGGCTCTGGATAAAACTATATTAACCCCAAAGGAAAGTTTTGTGCCAGAAAAACTAAATGACATAACACAAGAGATGCAGTGCCTAAAAAGCAGAAAAGCAATAAGATCTAAGTACGATGCATTACAGAGATCAAGTATAGTAAGTTAAAATTAAAATGGAATGCCCATGATAATAAAATAATGCACATGAAAATGAGACAAAAATGAAATATTGGCCATTATTCTGATAGTGTAATTAAATCTATCCCAGTTATTTATCATATATTTCATAAAATCCTATGAACAACAAGCCCTCACCTGTGAGTGCACCAGTCACACATACAGTTGTCCTCAAATTTATTCATACCGTCCCATTAAAGAATGGAAAAAAAAAACAGCTGTCACTGAAATACGCCGAAACTGACAAAAGTAATAATAAATACATTTTTATGAAAATCATGACATTGCTTTTGAATTGTGGTTCAACAGAAATATTTACAAAACAAACAAACATGATGGGACCAGTGAACTAATATTTAGTTGAACAAGCCTTTGAGCCAATCACTGCAATCAAGTGTTTTCTGTAACTCTCAATCAGACTTCTGCACCTGTTGACAGCTATTCTGGCCCACTGCTCATCAGCAAAATGCTCTAATTTGTCCAGGACAGTTTTTTTTTTTTTAATTATTGTTTTCAACCACAATTCAAAAGCAACACCTTATTTCACTAAATTATAATTTAGCAAATTTTTATTTATTATTACTTTTTTCATTTTCTAGTTATTTGAGTGGCTATTGTGAATTTTGCCTTTTCTTTAATGGAAGCGTATGAATACATTTGAGGACGAGGTTGTAGCTCACCTGTCCTGCAGTCGGCTGACAGGATCCAGCAGCTCGTGGCTCTTCAGCTCCTCGTCATCCTGGTGAGGCTTCACGTGCTCACAGCAGAAAGACTTCTCACAGTGCAGACAGGACTTCACCGCCGTCACTTCCTTCTCCTCTCCAGAACACGCATCGCACAGAACATCTGCCGTTTGGTTCTTCTCCTCTGTGCAGATGTTTGTCTGTTTTTGCTCAATCAGATCTCTGAGCAACACGTTCACACTCAGCTGCGGCCTTTTGTTGAAGTTTTGCTTACAAAGTGGACACTGGATAGTGTTTGTTGTGTCCCAGTAATTGTTTATGCAGACTTTGCAAAAGTTGTGTCCACACGGAGTGGAGACGGGGTCAGTGAAGTGGTCCAGACAAATGCAGCATTTCAGGAGGGACTGTTGAGAAGTGGGTGAGGCCATGGCGCCTGTTCAAATAGGATAGAAAAGACTGGATGTCATTGTTGCATCTAAACAGTCAGACGTGGCTATGGCTAGAGTAGCAAAAGCAGCTTGTGCATTTTTAACTTCAGTTATCAGGTGGGAGCTAACCAGAGACCATATGTACATCAGAGTAACAACAAGAAAAAGCATCAAAGAGGAGGACGAGATGGTTTATAACTGCTTCCAATGTACTTATTAAAGTCTGTCACTGATGGTGAATGCACCCCCAACTGCTAAAAACATTACCCTCAATATGAATCGAGACTACAAGTAGACTGACTGCTGTTGTCACATTTTCCTACAATGTGATTCATTTGCATCATGAAAGAATTATCTACGAGCAACCAGGTTACTTACAGTTGAAACCAGAAGTTTACATAAACTGTATTTAAAAAAAAAACTTCTTTTTTTTCTCACTGTCTGACAATAAATTAGACTAAACTTTTCCTGTTTTAGGTCAGTTAGGATTACCAAAATTATTTGTATTTGCTAAATGCCAGAATAATGAGAGAGAATTTTTTTTAGAGATATTTTTATTACTTTCGTCAAAGTCAGAAGTTTACATATATTTCCTTAGTATCTGGTAGCATTGCCTTTAAACTGTATGACTTGGGTCAAACGTTTTGGTTTTCCTTCTACAAGCTTCTCACAATAGTTGCTGGTTTTCTGTCAAATTAGCTACAAAGTGACTTCAGGACAACGACGTCAATGTTTTGGAGTGGCCATCACAAAGCCTTGATCCCAATCCTGTAGAAAATGTGTTTGTGGAGCAAGGCAGCCAACAAATCTGACTCAGTTCCACCAGTTCTGTCAGAAGGAATGGGGAAAAATTGCATCAAACTATTGTGAGAAGCTTGTGGAAGGAAACCCAAAATGTTTGACCCAAGTCATACAGTTTAAAGGCAATGCTACCAAATACTAAGGAAATGTATGGAAACTTCTGACTATGACGAAAGTATGAAAAAGAAATCTCTCTCATTATTCTGGTGTTTAGCAAATAGAAATAATTTTGGTAATCCTAACTGACCTAAAACTGGAAAAGTTTAGTCTGAGTTAATGTCAGATAGAAAAAAAAAAAAAAGGTTTTTATGTCTTTTTATACAGTGTGCGTAAACTTCTGGTTTCAACTGTAGATAATTAGAATGTGTATCATAATGTATGTGTGTGGATTTGCTCTCAGCATGCAGTCAAATGAGTCAGTAGGTTTAACAAAAGGAGGGACAGCTGTCAGAGTCACCCAGCCAATGTTTTCACCAGCTGAGTCACATCAACAGTGGTTAGTTTCACTTTCACTTCTACAGCAGCAGTAAACAAATAAGGTAACTGGCTGTTTTCTGACTATTTTAGCGATCTTTAGCAAGTGAATGTTAGTTCAGTGTTTTGCTAATGTTGAGTTTAGAGAGTTTCAAAACTCTCTTTAGATCTTCCTGCTGTAAAAGATTCACATTCATAATATCTTTTGTCAGTGTAGCTCAAAAACAGGAACTGAAAGCTGATCAAAGGAAACAATTAGATTTAAAACTAACACTGTGCCATAAAATATAGTCCGATCAGCAACATGTGAAAGTCTCAGATGAGTTTAACCTGCTTCTCAGTACAGAGATAATAAAGTGAGAAGACGCACAAACACAGAAACAGGATAATCTGAGAATCACAAAGAGATGCGAGTAACAGACAACAGACTGGTGTACAGAAAGATAGGAACCGATAGATGATGGTAAAAGCTCGATGAAGAAAGATAAAACTGAAACAACAACTTTTTTTTTGTCTGTATTTGCTCACCTTTGTCTCAGTGTTCGTCTGTTCGTCCTCAGCGAGCTTCTCCACTTGCTGCTTATATACAACAGGAAGAGGAATGCCGCCTGACGGCTCTCCTGACCTTTGTTTTCACTGTTTACGTCATCAGGTACCATTTCATGGGGAATTCCTGTAAGCAGCATTCTGACAGAGAAGAAACACAAGACCTGCACATGGAAACAGCCTGTGACAATACCGCATGTTGGTATGCAGCATTTTTCATTATCTCTACATGCATCGCTGCTGATATTCCCCAGACTGCATGTCACCAGTCATGTGACACAAACTCATGACTCAATTTACTTTCAGGGGAAGCATTTCTTCTCAGCTCAGCTACTTTTTGATGTGTGATGGAAACTTTTTAGTTCCTTTTATATTACAATCACAGTGTCACACATTCATGTAAAATCCTGGAAACACTTCTGGTTAAGAAAGTCCAGAGTCTGAAACAAAACAACAAATTGAGTGAGAGTTGCTAAATCATGAAAATGCAACAGTCAGCTTAAAGATATAATTTCGTCATTTGCATGTACACATTCAAATGTAAGTTATTCCTCAGAAGTGAAACATAATCAAGATTTCTCTCTGCTGTGTGGCACAGATGGTTAATCAAGCAAACAGATAAGGAAGAAATAAAATCATGTGATGTCTAACTGTAAGTAGATGTACTTTGTAGAAATACAATTTCAAAACAAGCAGTAATATTTAGACCACATTTTGTATTTTCTCACCTTGTCACTTCACTGTATTCACCAAACAGCCAGAACTTGGAAAGGTAGAAGCTAGAGACTACAGGCCTGAGACAATATGTATGGACGAGTCACAGAAGACAACAACACTGTCTTTGTTGGCAAAAGAGCTGTTGTTGGCTTACAGTGACCTCAGGATAAGGTGAGCCCACTGAGAGCAAACAGGTGCTGACTTTGAGACCCTTGTGAAAGAAAATCTAAAGCAGGTTCTTTATAAATACTGAAAATATTAATTCTTACCCTTAAAAACACAGTCAAAACTCACTCCTGGCAGTGAGGCTCCAGCTCCAGTCACTGCTTGATACAATAACAGTAGGATTTCACCGCTTGGATATATCTCCATTTTGCAGGAGAACTTCGAGAATCTTGTGGCTTCTCATGGTAGTAATCAGAGTCCTTGTATACAAGAAAGCTGATATTTTGAAATGACCATGGTAAATGCAGGCCATCTTATGTGTTAAAATGTCGGCATCAATCCTCCTCCCGAAGAATATTTTGGTAACACGTCATCAGCTCCACCCACTATTTGCTGTGAGCCTCCATCTCCAGTCAGCACGGCTTGCAGCAAAGGGCTGCTCTAACCCGATGCTGACTTTGAGAGAGAGAGAGCGTAACTTTCCCCGTGTGAAAGGAAATCCAAATCAACTTCCTTGTAAGTGCTGTAAAAATTAATTGTGACCCTTAAAACTCTGATAAATGTGGGCTCTCTGAAGGGCAACGGTGGAGTTTAAACAGTGGATAACAGCTGACATTCCACTTAAAGTGTGGGGTTAGACGTGTTTTCACGTGTCTCTGCTGAAGTGTTATACAATTGAGCAGTTGAACAGTCAGTTGAATGAGCAGGAACAACAACACAAGTCAGTTGCCTGAACGAAGGCCAAGCAGAATGTTCATTTCCCGAGGCAACAGGTGGGAAGTGACTCCCTCAACTCCCGCCTGGTTCTATCTCCATATTGTAGGAAAACTTCGAGAATCTTGTGGCTTCTCATGGTGGTAGTTGAAGACTCTTGGTACATAAGAAAGCT